TAACCGGTGTCTACGTAACGAGCAGGAACATTATTTTATTCGGTCGTGATGTGCGCAATACGCTGAGGGAAAATAGCAGATAGCTGCATGTTGGAGCGTCGGATTGGAAGTTAGTGCCTGGTTGAGGCGCATTGCACGGGTTGGCAGCCGTTGTGATGTTTGCGTTCTAGGTCGATAGCAAACGTGCAGCATGAGCGCCAGGCAGGTGTGGTCGCGGACGAAGACGTTTGTCTGTTGGGATGAGTGGACTGATTGCATGAATTAGTAGGTCTTGCTAAATTAAGATGCGCTTTCACAGTTGCGTGTAGAGGAGTGACGCTGCTGTCGGACACTGACGACGTCGTCTCAGTGTTTATTCGTTAGTTTGTATTCGTTGGTTTGTTTCGAACGCAGAGAGTGCGCAAATTAGGCTTGTCGTGTGCGTGGATTTTCGCGCGTTGTGTAGGGATCGTCGTCTAGAGATCGTCACCTCAGGGGAACGTAGTGTTTTTAGACCAGCTGTGGTGCAGCGCTTCGCGTGTTGAGCAGCGTGTTCAGTTACAGCTGGCGGTACATGGCCGTCTGCAGATACGCATGCACGAATTGTGTTGAAGACTGGGAAGAACAGGAGAAAAAGATAGGTCGGTGCGTGTATCAGTGAGGTGTCGCACTGGTCTGTTGGGGTGTCGTTCAAGAGGTTTGTGTTGACGGCGGTTGGAACTAGTGTGCGCAGGATTCGGCAGGATGCGTATGGTTGGTGGATAGAGACGTTAGTGTTTTTGAAGGTCGAGCAGGGGGATTGCGTGCATGGGCGTTGGTTGTCAGATCAGGTGGCAGTTGTTGACCGGCTGGTAGTTGGTTCGTTTAGCTGGATGCGTAGGTTGATAGGGAGCACGCCTTGGCCTGTCTGCGTAACAAGCAGGAACAGCATTTTGTTTGGTCGTGATATGCGCAATACGCTGAGGGAAAATAGCAGATAGCTGCATGTTGGAGCGTCGGATTGGAAGTTAGTTCCTGGTTGAGGCGCATTGCACGGGGTGGCTGCCTTTGGTTTGTGATGCTTGCGTTGTAGTTCGATAGCAAACATGCAGCATGAGCGCCAGACAGGTGTGTCCGCAGATTGAAACATTTGTCGAGACATTCGTCTGTTGGGATGTGTCAAGTGATTGCATGGTTTTGATCGGGATCATGATAAGCAAATTACGGTTGGTGATTAGAGTTATTTGTAGACGAGTGTACGTGCTGTCGGACACTGACGACGTCGCCTCAGTGTTAATTCGTTGGTTTGTTTCGAACGCAGCTGGTGAGCAAATATGGTTTTCCATGTGCGTGGATTTTCGCGCGTTGTCTAGGGATCGCCGTCGCCTTCTCAGAAACGTAATGTTGTTAGACTAGCTGTGGCGCAGCGCTTCGCGTGTTGAGCAGCATGTCCAGTTGCAGCTGGCGGTACATGGCCGTCTGCAGATACGCATGCACGAATTGCGTTGAAGACTGGCAAGAACAGGAGAAAAAGATAGGTCGGTGCGTGTATCAGTGAGGTGTCGTATTGGTCTGTTGGGGAGTCGTGCAAGAGCGTTTGTGTTGACGGCGGTTGGAACTAGTGTGCGCATGATTCGGCAGGATGCGTATGGTTGGTGGATAGAGACGTTAGTGCTTTTGAAGGGCCAGCAGTGGGATCGCGTGCATGGGC